TAAATAAATAAATAAATAAATAAATAGGAAACCCTCTACCATTTCAGACAAATGGCTGTCAATCTCTTCTTTAAAACTTCCAGTGTTGGGAGCATTCACAACTTTTGGAGGCAACTTCTGTTCCACTGATTTAATTGTTCTCACTGTCAGGAAATTTCTCCTTAGTTCTAAGTTGCTTCTCTCCTTGATTAGTTTCCATCCATTGCTTCTTGTTGTACCCTATGCCCAAATACAAATTTTGTACAGCTACGATTAAGGAAGTAAACACCCTAAGAATCAATCATTGGTTCCTTGACATGCTTCTTTTGATTGGCGTCTTCTTCTACTTTACCTTCCTTCTTCATACATCACATGTTTATGTTAATAAGCTTTTTTTTTTTTAATAACAAAAGGGGTATGTACATCTTTTACAAGTGTAATAAGTTGGAAGTTACCAAGTTTGTAGCAATAGCACTTAGACTTATATATTGTTTCATAGGGCTTTCCAGCCCTCTCTCAGCGGTTTACAGAGTCAGCCTCTTGTGCCCCCAACAATCTGGGTCCTCATTTTACCCACCTCGGAAGGATGGAAGGGTGAATCAACCTTGAGCCGGTCAGGATCGAACTGCTGACATTGGGCAGAGTTAACCTGCAATGCTCATTGTAACCACTGGGAAGGAAGGAAGGAAGGAAGGAAGGAAGGAAGGAAGGAAGGAAGGAAGGAAGGCTGAGTCAACCTTGAACCAGCGAGAATCAAACTGCCAAACTGCAGGCAGCTGGCAGTCAGCAGAAGCAGCCTGCAGTACTGCACTCTAACCACTGCGCCACCGTGACTCATAATGCAGCATGTTTTTGAATCAAGGTTTCAAAAACATGGCTTATACAGTATATCTATCTACCATCCTTCTAATGTGTCCTTCTAACTTGTTCCTTTCTTGTTGCTATGGAGTGGTATCCCACCATTTGTTACACTTCCTGCAGCTGCAAATTTCCACCTTGGCAATTCCTTGGTTCAGCTTTCCTAATTCCAACCCAGGAGCATCACTCGACTTACGACCATGATTGGGACCAGAATTTCCGTGGCTAAGCCAGGCGGTTGTTAAGGGACTCTCTTCAGTGATCCTGACTTCCCTATTGACGGTGGAATTTGAGATGGGAGACCGGGGCGAGGTGAAGCTCTTCCTCACGTCCGCGTCTTCGCACATTGGGCCCACGTGTGTCGCTTCCTACGCCCACCTGTTGCCCTCCCCCTGCCTCAGCGTTCGCAAGATCTGTAACCAGAGACGGGAGGACTTTGCCTGTAAGAAGATTAGATAAATTGCTGGATGGAGCTTTCTGTCACTCCTGGGATGTCAAGGAGACTAAAACCTGTCTTAATCGGAGCTTGACCTTTCTTACGTTCATCCCATCCCAATTGTCCTTGACTTTCAAGCGCTCTCTGGAGGCTTCGCCAACCCAGCTGCAACCACGCCGTCAATCTCCTTCCACACGCAGAAGATATTCTCTCCATCTTCCCAATTGGAAAGTATCATATGGCTAAATATACCCAGCTGGGCAAAAAAACACCACTTGTTTGTTCAGCGTCTCGTCCACCTGTTGTTCTCGGTCAAGATTGGCACGATGTGGACACAGAATAAGCCCCCTCTTTCTTCCAGCGGGGGCTTGCCTTGTTCTGAAGAGGCGATCCGTAGGGTTCTTGCGCATTTTCGAGACCGCACGACACCAAATAACTAAGTGCTTTGGATCAAACAGTAGAGGGAAATAATTGCCTCCGTATCCTTGCCCTGTTGGAGTTTCCTAAAAGTTTGATTGATCACAGTTGGGAATGAAATTTCAGCCGGATGAACTCTTTCTAATCCCCTCCCTCCCCCGAGGCAAAACCTTTGGCCCAGATAGCTTGCCATGGTTGAATAGGAAAGGAGCTTTAGATCAAGGTCCACCAGAGCTCCTTTGATGTCAGATTGAACCAGGAGGCCCATCCAATGTCCCACCATAGCTTAGGGTTCTTCCCAGGTCCTCTTTGAGAGCTTCTGTCCAACAGGGACCACAATTAGTCTCACTGTAAAGTAAGGTTATCTTGTTCCTCATGGCATCTGGCTCTCTCAGCTCCTGGCAAATAGATGGGGAAGAAATGGAGGTAGTGACAGATTTTACTTTCCTGGGCTCCAAGATCACCTCAGATGGGGACTGCAGCCAAGGAATTAAGAGGCTTGCTCCTGGGGACGAAAGTGGTGGCAAATCTAGACAGCATACGAAAAAGCAGAGACATCACCCTGCCAACAAAAGTGCAGATAGTCAATGCTATGGTTTTCCCAGTTGTAAAGGATGGCTGTGAAGGTTGGACCATAAGGAAGGCTGAGCACCAAAGAATGGAGGCCTTTGAACTCTGGTGCTGGAGAAGACTCCTGCATTGAGTCCCTTGGACTGCAAGGGCATCCAACCAGTCGGTCTAGAGGAGATCAACCCTGTCTGCTCTTTAGACGGCCAGATCCTGAAGATGAAACTCAAAGACTTTGGCCATTTAATGAGAAGNCAGGCGGCCTTGCTATCTCAGAAATACGGGCTCATCAACGGTTCGTGCTCCATAAATATTCCTCTTTGTTTCCTTTGTGCATTTTCCCCCCTGTAGGGATAATCCTCAATTTATGACCCCAATTTCCATTCCTAAGCAAGATTATTGTTACGTGAGCTGCATGTTGCATTCCAAGCGAATTCTGGGAGCTGGAATCCATACATCTTAAAAGTTGTCAAGTTTGAGAAAGAATCTAAAATGAATAATAAAGGTAAAGGTTCCCCTCGCACATCTGTGCTAGTGGTTCCCGACTCTAGGGGGCGCTGCTCATCTCCGTTTCAAAGCCGAAGAGCCAACGCTATCCGAAGACATCTCCGTGGTCATGTGGCCGGCAGGATTCAACGCCGAAGGCGCACGGAACGCTGTTCCCTTCCCACCAAAAGTGGTTCCCTATTTTTCTATTCTGAGCCTTGTTTTGATGTGTATCTTTCTCTCTCTTGACCTTACACAATAAAAAAACAGGAAAAAAAAAGATAAAACCTCCTTTTTAAAAAAAAATCTGTATTCTTCCTTGCTTTTGTTTGGTATAGCAAGAGAGAAAGAGAGAGAGAGAGAGAGAGAGAGAGAGAGAGAGACCTGATGGAGAAACTGGAGCCCCATGGCTTTTATATTATTCAGTATCCTTTTTTCACATCTGGCTTTTTATTTTTGCTTTTTGTTATTCTGTTCCCCACTCCACCTTCTCGGTTTGAGTTCCTCTTTCTCTTCCTCCCTCCCTCACTACTTTTTCTTTTCTTTTTCCCCCTTTTTAAAAATTAACCTTTTTCTGTCTCTCCTTCTTCTCGGCTGAGCTCCCCCTTCTCTTCTTTCCTTCCATCCTTCCCCTCTCCCTCTTTCTTTTGTTTGTTCACCTTTTTAAAAATTAATCTTGTCCTTTTCTGTTTCTCCGTTTTCTCCATTGAGCTCACATTCTCCTCCCTCCTTCCCTCCTTCCCTCCCTCCTTCCTTGCTATCTCTCCTTCCTTCCTTCTTCCTCCCTCCCTCCTTCCATTCCTTCCTATGTCTCCTTCCTTCCTTCCAAGCTATCTCTGCTTCCTCCCTCCCTCCCAAGCTATCTCTCCTTCCTTCCAAGCTATCTCTCCTTCCTTCCTTCCTTCCTTCCTTCCTTCCTTCCTATTTCTCCTTCCTTCCTTTCTTCCCCCCTCCCTCTTTTTTCTTTTCTTTTTTCCTCCCTTCCTTTTTAAAAATTAACCTTGTCTTTTTCCCTTTTCTCCTTTTTCTCAGTTTGCTGCGGGCAAATGCTTAAGGAAGCCGCTACCAGTGATACCAAACTTGGGAGGTTCATTAAGCCGTACCTTGATGGAGGATGGCCAGGTAAGGGAGAAAGGTGACAGATCCGTGGAAGGGGATGAAAGAAAATTGAATTACGGCACCTTGCCGTGTTTGTTCCTGGGGACAGGGTCCCTGTAAGACTAATCCAGTTCATAACAGAGGGTCCATAAATGTTTTTCTTTATTAATTCTGAGCTTAATTATCCATGTGGGAAGATATATTTTATTTATTTATTCTTATGTATGTAAAGTATTTCTACAAATTTTCCCCAAAACAACATCCCTGTGAGGTGGCTGAGAGGCACTAACTGAAGTCACCCAGCTGGCTTTCACGCCTAAGGCAGGACTAGAACTCACCGTCTCCTGGTGATTGGCCCAAAGCCACCCGCACAGCTTTAAGGTGGACTAGAATTCACCTTCTCCTGGTGATTGGTCCAAAGTCACCCAGCTGGCTTTCATGCCTAAAATGGGACTAGAAGTTACACTCTCCAGCTTCCTAGCCTGCTGTTTTAACCAATAACTAATAAAAGAGATAAAAGATAAACGCGAATATAAGCGAAAACAATGAAAAGAAAAAAGGGAGGGAGGGAAAAGAAAGGGAAAATAAGGGGATAATAAAGAACAAGACAAATATATAAGCAAATCATTCCCAACCTTCACCACTTGTGTAAACAATTTTAAGAACTTATTGTCCAGTATTAAAAGACAATAAAATATATCTCCCTTCCTGTACCTCATCTCTTATCTAGAAATAAATATTGTTTAGAACTGGTCAGCAAAAGTCCCTTAAAAGGTCAAGGTTCCCCTCGCACATATGTGCTACTCGTTCCCACCTCTAGGAGGTGCTGCTCATCTCCTTTTCAAAGCCGAAGAGCCAGCGCTGTCCGAAGACGTCTCCATGGTCATGTGGCTGGCATGACTAAACTCCGAAGGCACACGGAAAAACTGTTACCTTCCCACCAAACATGGTTCCTATTTTCCTATTTGCATTTTTTACGTGCTTTCGAACTCCTAGGTTGGCAGAAGCTGGGACAAGTCACAGGAGCTCACTCCATTATGCGGCGCTAGGGATTCGAACCACCGAACTGCCAACCTTTCTCATCGACAAGCTCAGTGTCTTAGCCACTGAGCCACTGTGTCCCTTTTAAAAGTCCATTAAGGGCTACCAAAAACAACCTATCTACCTCTGTTAGCCATCGTCAAATAAATCAATTTTTCTCGTTTGGCAGAGAAGGGGAAAAAAATACCAACAGCCTTTTCTCTGCTCCAAATTTTACATTTCGCTCTTGCTTTCCCCCCCTAAAATCAAAAACAAAAGCACCGATTTTCAGCAGTGAGTGAAAATGCCTTTCCTTTGAGTCCTGCTTGCCCTTCCTTTAAAAAGGAATCCTATTTGAATTTCTCCCACCTGGAAGAGAAAAAAAACTGACTCGTGGCTAGAGAAGTGAGCAGAAACCGGTTGGAGGCTTTGGGAATCTATTTTGCCAGCAACAAGAAAGAAACAGGACAATTCCTTTGATCCCAAGGTGTCTTTCCCTCTCCTTTCCTTCTTCTTTGATTTGGAAGAGTGATCTCTCCCATTTGGGATCTACAAGAGAGATTTGGGATCACCTCTTTGGTTCGCTCTCAACATCCACCCCCAAACCTTAATCTCTAAAAAAGTCTCTAACCGAGAGCAAATCTTTCTTTTCTTCCCACCTCTCTTTCCCTTG